CATTATGTTTTGCTCATTGAATGATCAACCTTCTCTTGCTGGACTGTGGTCACACACACAAAAGGTATTTGAAAAATGGAGGGGCCAACATTATTAACAGTCATTTGAGAGGGCTTAAGAAGGCACCATGGTTGGCGGCAAGAAAAATTTTTAGAATTATGGTGTCTTAGTGATACCATGTTGGTTGGAGCTAGACCCAGACTGCTTCTCGCCGAGATTTTTATTCGATTCATTCTTATGTTAATTACTTGGGTTGTGGTAGTTCGGAGTTACTCGTGTAAATAGGAGTTTTTCTTATTGTCTTTTTAAAGAGTAGTCATAAACTTAGATCTTGTCGTTCTTCTCTTTTATTATTCTCTCTCCACATTGTCTACTCTCCACTCTTAACAGCCAGAAACTGTATCTAAAATTGAATTTTGACTGAAGGTTCGCATGAGTCGCGTCTATTGTTGATGTTGATTTGAAATAGAAAAGTTTTGCAAAGCTTTAGAATAACCAACCATCATATAGCTCGTGAGCAAACCATTTTTTAGATTTTAAATTACCCAAAATAAGATAGGGGAAAATAAATGTGTATTATCGATACTTATTCACTCTAGGTAATTTCGCTGTTCATGTCTATGATGGACAGCACATAGTCCAAAAATTGTTTATGCTTCTCTTAGCAGTGGCTTGCGAAGCTTAGCAAAAATCTTTGGTCCTTGCTATTAGGACAGGCCCCTTATACAAATGGCAAAATCTATGACAAAAATGTGCTAGTTTTCAGTGAAATTATATTTGTGGTATTCCAGATTTGCCTTAGTAAACCTGACCAATCTAGATATCTCTATTAAAATAATTTAAATAAACAACAGACGGTTTAAGTCTGTAGGGGCAAGTTCAAACAATATCTGCAGAACAATTTTCTGCAGGCTGATAAAGAGAGGTACAATCCAATAATGTGTCGCATTATCAATGAAAACAACTTTATTAGATAAACCATAGTACGAGAAACAATTCAGGTAGAAAAATGCAAAATCGCTGAAATTGGTTTATTCTCAACTCAAACTTTCAATCACACAACAGTAATTCAATTATGCTTTCATCGTTCTTGTCCAAGTCTAAAAATTTTATTTAGGCCACCATGATATACAGTGCCTCAACGATCGTACAAAGGCCGAAATCAGAGTGCCCATACAACGCAATTCTGTTTGTTTAATTTCTTTCTTTGCGAACTTGGACTCTGTCTTGTTTTACAAATAAAATTTATGCAGCTCAACTGAGGCAAGTTTTGCTTTCAATAATAATATCATTGGTATTGCCAAAGCAAGCAGGAAATCCGCATTCACATCGCCTCGCCATAATACTTTAACTGGCCTCCTTGCTAGTATCTCATTGCAGAACGAGAATGCACAGGGCAATTCTTGCAGTCCTGCTCTCAGAAACAGCAGGACCAAAGGTTTTCAAAACAATGCTCTTTGACCTACGTTTGACCTACGTAGGTGAACCCTCGACCAATCAAATCACAACTGCTTACGAAAAGTTATGATGGTCATTTCGACGAGGTCCTGCTCCCGAGATTGAGCAGGATTGCTCTTTGTTCTAGACTATTGTGAAGCAGGACCAAACATAGGGTATCATAGTTATGAGCAGGACCTAAATACAGGGCTGCCGTAGAAGAGAACAGGACCTTAAGATTAGCACGGGATGCCTGTATCAGCTGGCGGAACTGGGGACTGTTTATCAAAAAGAATTTGAAACTTCCTTTTTGCAAAGAAGAAATTGTTTATTGTTTACAGTAAATCTTATCTTTGGAAATTCTTGGTCCTGCTCAGCAGGACCAGCAGGACCTTTGGCTTCGCCACTGTCTCTTAGTTAGGAAATATTAGCTTGTCGCGCTTTAGTTTTTCATGTTTTCCGGTAACATAATATTTTACATGCCCTTTACCCTACAAAGTTCCCCCGCGTATTTTAATAAATCTAACACCTCCTACTAGTTCATTTACGTATTTCACGATAGATACCGACAATGACACCGACAATTATTGATGTTAGTTTGCTATATTGTAATGCTGTTATATAAATTAGAGTAAGGAGAAGCAGAGTTAGTTAGAGAGAAGCATGGTGCTTGCGAAAGGCCACTGCTATCAAACTTTTAAAAGTTAACGTTTTTATGAATTGTATTCGTGAGAAGCAATTTTTGTGTTTTATTTAGCATTCTCTACCGCTCGGAAAAATCAATCTAGCCAAATATACGAAGCCCCTCACAAATGAAACACGGATAAATAAAAAACATTAACGTTGAAATATCAACAGGGGAACTATCAACTAAAAATAAAAAGTTAAGCAATTTTGTACAGCTTAGATAAGACTTTGTAATATCTGATCTTAACTTTTAGGAAATTAAGTGCTTTAACAAAAATTTGAAAAACCTTCAGACTGGGCTTGTCAAAATGAGTTTAAATAGAATCTATAATTTGTGTCGATATTTTCTTTTTCTTAGTAGGAATGGATTTCCAAACGATGAAACTCTGAAGTTTTCTCGATGATGATACTTTTTAAAAACAAATCTGCCCATACTTTATTTCTCATATTCTCAAAAAAGTTCTTTCCAGCTGTTTTGTTTCCTTCAACAGCTGATTTTTCTCTTTTTGTAATGTTTCTGAGAAAGTTTTCGTTGACAAATAGACCCTATGTGCCAAGTTTACGCAATGGAAAAGACGAAACTTCAATTTACGCTGGCACCAAGTTATTCAGGACAAGATTTCTCGATCTATTTGCTAAGCCAAGCTGTCACTCGATGCAAAACTTAGATAATAACCAATTTCTTCGATCTAATTCCCATATTCAATTTTATTTATGTCCTCTATGGTAAAGACATAGCAACCAAGGTAAAGCTAAGGACACAGGAGAAAACAAGGCAAAGTTACTTACAGAATCATATACAACATTTAATTTTACTTTTTTCTGATCTTATGTAAAGTTACGGATACAGTTGTGGCACACTTGACAACTGAACGAAATTTAAATAAAAACTTCTGACAAACATAATCCTTATTGTTCATAGACAAAAGGGATTAGGCTTGCTAGCAAAGCCCTGTCCACACTGCACAAACTAACCCAGGTTCGCCCCAGGTTTTCGCTAACCCAGGTTAGATTTTGCAGTGTGGACACAGCTAACCTGGGTTCGCCCTGGTTGAACCCAGGTTAGTGTTATGAATTTCTAGTGTGGACACCAACCTGGGGTGAACCTGAGTTAGTTTTAGTAACGCATGCCAATCATATGCCTCAAAACGATGTAAGAAAATTGAGTCCCACCAGTTTTTACTTCGGGTTTTACATCAATATTTTCTTTCCACGTCTACTAGTTGAATGCACTCTAAAGTGATACTTTGTTTAAGACATGTTTCAAATTTCTTCCTCCTCTGTGATCTGGATCTCTTATACTGTCGAATCCGTTTGCGACACGCAGCCAATATTTTGTTTAATTTTGATTGCCGTGCCATTGGATATTTATTCTGAATAAACTGCATTGCAAGGAAAAACATTTTTAACAAAATACAATAAACTGCGACTTCGGCAATTTCCATCTTCATCGTGTTTGTAGATTATTTGTTTTGTTGTCCTTGTTTTGTTGTTATAATTTAACTACGCGTGCGTAGCATTGACTAACCAGGGTTCGCCCCGATTTTGTGTCCACATTACAAAAGATGAAAATCAAGTGTGATAAAAAAAAAGGGTTCACCCTAGGTTAAATTTAACCCGGGGCGAGCCTGGGTTAGTTTGTGTACTGCGGACAGGGCTTTTAACAAATGCTGACTTGCCAATGTGCACACCAAAATTGCAACTAAAACAAGTTCACTAATCCCTCAAATCTGAAATTTTGTTCATTTCGCCCAGAACCTTGCAAAAGAAGTAACGATTTTCCACTTTGACAAAGGTAACAAGTTTTATGTAAGAAACTAGTGCACCCAGGGTCTTAGCTTCAATAATCGAGCGCCAAAAGTGATTAACTCTAAATAACTTTATACAAATGGTCAACAATGTTGCAATGTGTGGACAGAGCCTTCAATAAGCCTAAACATTCCATTTCAAACGTATGAGGGTGTTCAGAATAAATCTATGATCGTGTAGACGGGCCTAATCAGCAATATTGCTCATTAGAGTGATCAGCGACAAATTTAGCAAACGTGCTTGGAGGATGCACGTAGTCAATGCTATTTTGCTCTCAAGCGAGTCATTGCATCCTGATTTTCCAAACTATGGCAAGAGGGAAATCTCTTTTTATGGAGGCTAATTTTGTATATGATCAAAACTTTTGATAGCTTGATTATAAAGCATTGTCTGAGGTATGAATTTCATGAGAAAAAAAACTATTGCCATTTGTTCTAGGTTTTGCTAACTTTGAGTTTTACTTGTAAAGATCGGAGCAATATGCCAAAATTTCAAAGAAAACACTCACCTAATCTCAGATTGGATTTAGAACCGATTTTGAACTCTTCAATTTCTAATAGAATCAGGTGAGGCAAAAAAAACGCGAATCCGCCTTGACCCAGATGAAGGAATGCCTGCCACACACAATCAAATCAGGTATAGCTTTGTATAGAAATAGTTATCCAGGCACGATAATATCAGGTAGAGCTTTGTATAGAAATAGTTATTCACGCACAATCAAAACAGGTAGAGCTTTGTATAAAAATAGGGTTGAAACCAAAGAAATAGTAGAGCTAGAATACGCGCTCTATTGTTCGCCTATTGTTTTCTGCGTAATACCACAAAATACGCAGAAGGTGAACTCTATGTCGGCACCTTTGATGTTTGCGTGCACAAATCTAGAACAAAGAAACAATAGCTTGTGTGAATGAAGAAAAGGCCACTGTAGCAGGCTGCTCGACGGGCTCCAAGGGGTTCTTGCTGCGAAAAGTCGATAAAAATGTAGCAAATATGAAACACCGCAATACGCCGAGAATACACAACAATAAAAACACGTAAATCAGTAAAGGCTAATATTTCGCCCCGGCATACGGGGCTTCATCAGAGCAAAAGTTAACGGGCTAAAAATTTACGTATTTAAAAAAGGCGATGGTGTTGTCGGATTGGCTGATGTGGAATGGTGTGAATGCAGCGCAGTGGTAGAGAAGGGAAGGGTGGCGAATGGGAGAGGGTGGGTGGTGGTGGTGGAATGAAGACGTAATGGGGATGAAGTACTATAAAATGAAATAATGATATTGTTGCTATAAGGTTAACGGTCAGTAGTTCTGTTCATGCCGTTCGGTGTGAGAATGTTTGCCAGGCCAACGAGGTATTGCTCTTTGGCTCGTCGTACACTGTCTCGTTTGTCGTTGAGTTTCAGTAACTGTGTTACAGTAAGGTCATTGGTGGTATGTTCTGGGCTACAGAAGTGTTCTGCAACACCAGTTTTGTCTACTTTTTTGTTGATAATGTCTCGTCTGTATTCGTTAAATCTGTCTTTCAGTCGTCTGCTTGTTTGTCCGATGTATTGGCAGTTCTTGTGTCCGTTAGTTACACAGCCTTTGCACTGTAATGAGTAAAGAACGTTAGTAGAGTTGCAGTCTAGTTTTTTTACATCGTAATTTTCATTCTATCCAATCAATCTGTGCTGAGGTTTGTTAAATAATGATAGTTGCGATGATATTTACAAAAAATTAAAGCATATCATTCCTTTTTAGAAAAAGAACCCCAACCGTAGAAGCCCTCTATTCAGGCATCACTCACCCCCACACCCTCCAAAAATTCATCGCGAGTAAAAATTTTTATTAGCAGCAATGAATTCAGCACCATGGAAAACCCTATAGCAAGACCAACTTTTTCTGTCATAACTGTCGGTTTTCGAAATTGTCTTAAGACTACGGGTACAATTTCATTTTAAATTCAAATAAATTTTGTTTCCCAATTTCTTATTAAACTACTTTATGTGGCCCTGGATCTCGAGGCCCTATTATTATGCTAACTTACATCTGTTCATTTTTTCTACGTACAATTGAATCTCAAATTTATAGTTAAATTGTTTCCTCGTGTTGAGCGTCATGGAATCAAGTTTCGCCATTATTCTTTTATTACACACTTTGAGTATATACGTTGCGATTCAGTTTGAATCACACATGCCTCTTCCGTGTACATCCCACAATCAGGGACGCTGGAACGACCAAGAGGCAAAGAGGCAGGCTTGATTAAAAGGGCAATTTGAAACATAATTCCAAGCTACTAACAATTCTTTCGTAACTGTCGTTTTGTTTCGATATGCCGTAAGTAAGTTGAAAATCGGCTAGCTTTTGGCATAAGAAATTTCTTTACATGTTTTGAGAAATGTTGGCTTGACTAAGAAAGTACATTCAGAATTTGATATGAATCTTTTGATAACAGCAAACAGCTGACGTCTGTTTTCTATGAAGAGGGCACATTGTCCTCCTTGCTCTATCTATCCAAAAAACAACAGGGGTGATTGATCTCTGAGCCTTTGTCTCCAGCGTCCCTGCCTACAATCCCTCAAATCTTCTTGACCTGGCAAGATTATCAAATAATACTAGAGAAATCAAAGACCAGCAGTTTCCGTCTAAAAAAATATTAAAGTTTACTGCGTGAGTTCCACCAGTGTATAACGGCTGTTTCAAACTTCACAATCTTTTATAAATCATTTGGCTAAAATGTCTTCAAGACGAAAATATAATTCTGGAGCTTTCAAAAGAGCAGTTAAGAAACGAACAATCGAAGCTACTCATTCCAATACACGGCCATAATAGCAACATTTTTTCCCTCAACAAAGCCAGATGAAAGCAAAGAAGAAATATCAAACCCAGCTTCACCTACGTCAACTTCAGAATGTCCTGTGGAGTTTAATGTCAGGGATTGTACGAAGATCTATACCACCACTCAAAAGTTGTTTGGTGACCAGTTTTGTCCTTCTAACTGGCATACTTCGAAAAGTCAGACGATAATAAAGTTTGATAAACAATATATATGACATTGCTAGTAAATGTCACTCCACAAATACCATTTTCTTTCGTAAAATTCCATATAGTTGAGTTTGGTTTTTTGTGATTTCATATAACCAAAAATTCGCAATGGTTGTCACACATGAAAATTTGATTTTCTACAATAATATACTTCATAATTTTGCTTCCAAGGTTGAGCTAGAATCTACTTGCTTTTCCGACAAATTGAAATTATATTATAAATCTATTTGGAAAGAAGTTTTAAGGAATTTTAAGGAATATTTATCCTTGCACACTTTCAAAATTTTTGAAAAGTTTGGTGTTGTCTTTGAAAATTTTTATGACCGCATCTATCGAGCCAACTTTATGAAAAGTTCTCGAACTACACCGCCTTTCAACCTAGCTTCACAAGAGATTTCAACGAGGAAAAGTGGCCTAGATTGAAAAGAATTATCGAAAACAAACATCACAAAGAAGAAGATGAAAAAAAAACAAACTAGATAGCTTCTAGATACTGAATTCGATAAAATTTAGAGAGATTCCATAGATCATTGTTACTGTTATGTTCTCCTTTTTATTATTGTGATGCCCTATTATAATCTTTATGTGTTCTTTACTGGTAGTTGCTGCAATTTTACCTTTTAATAACTAAATACTACTAAATGTCTTTTGTTTTTGGTTTTTCACTGCAAAAAATTTACGATTGTGTATCAATGTACATTTACGATTTATCAATGCCCAAATTGGCTACCACTGCACGTTAAAATGAACCCCGCTACAGTTTCTATAATTTCGTTGTGCTGAATCATTGCAAAATACTCAGCTACTGCACATTTCATCTATGATAAATTTATAGCAAACTTAAGAGATCTCAACAGCGACTAAGAAGAAGAAACGCAAAATTTGTTGCCATAAAATGGAAAATAAATAAATATTTTCATAATATGGTACATAGTTGATCTAGAGAAGAAAGTCCAAAAACTTCCATCTTTGAAAAAACATAGTAGCGAACTAGCTCTTTGACGTTTCTGTAATGCTTTTCTTGCTCTTCCATGCACCTTTTGTCCCAAAACCATTGATAGAATTCAAACGAATAAAGATTGTAATGTATCTTTGCCTGGTTCCATTTTTTGCAACTTTCCGGACAGACATCAAATCCAGCTGAGTAACAAAGTCCTTCTTTAATAAAATCTTCGATATATTCCTTTGGAGGGACTTCTGACAGATAGGACTGACCATTTGTTATTGTGTACCTCAGGTGAATTGATGAGCGCGGCATCGGTATCGTCATCTCTGGGGGTACGTTAGTCCGATAATAATCTAGTGACACTTGACTAGCAAGCAAATGTTCTCCTCTCCAGTCACCATTTGGGACCATCTGCAAGCGCCATGAGTACTCATTTCTGTGATAGTACCAAACATAATTGCACATGATACTAAACTGACAAAGACAATGCATTTGACGTGGAGTGTTTTTAAAAACTGAATCAAAATCCATGCTATGATTTCTTGCAAGCACCTCTCTCATTTCTATCATATGCTCCGTTTTTATCATAACAGGGAAAGTTGACATGCATTGCATAACTTCTTTTTTGCCGAGAAACAACTCTGTTGTTTCAGCCCAACATTGGTACGGAACCTGGCCAATTTTTGCAATAATAATTGGTTTTCCATTGTCAAATAGCAACTGTGGTGTTACTAAGGTGCTAAAAAATGTATCAGTATCGACATACCCCACATAAGATACATTGGTACATTTATCGGGATACATCATGTCCCAAAACATTCTGGCCTTGCCCCATCCGCGGTATGCATCAATGGAACTTGGATCTCTGTAGCATATTTGTGGATATGGCCATTCCGTTTTTATTTTGTCTCCAAACAAATGGTCTTCTTTCTTTTCGTTGTCCAATACAACTACAAGTTTCGCTCGTTCAGGTGGAAAGAAAAGCTTCATAGTGCGAACCAAATTATTTCTATATTCTTGCTCCCAACGCGGACTAGAGGTTAATCTCAAGTATAGCACAAACTCAGGGACGCCATTCCAAGGGTTTCTTGACGGAAAAATTCCTCTAAAGATCGGTTGACTTTTCATCTGCATTTTCTTTGAATTTTGTAAAATGATCTCAAGTGCAATGAAAACTGTTGCTATTAGCAATACGACGTGTAACAACTGCATGTTAGCATCTGTTAGAGAAAATAAAGACAAAATTTGTTAAAATGTGAAATTTTGCTCAAAGGATTTTAAGATATATTTGTAGATATCATCAAAATATAATTATATGATTTGATATAATTTTGGCAGCTTTCCAATATTATTTAATGATATGCCTATGAAGTAGGAATCAATTTCCCTTTACTTATACAAGACAATCCGTCTTTTGGATTAGACGAAGTGGAAATACATAGCATTTATAAGGAAACTGAGAATTGCCTATTGGACACTTAATGTAAACACTAGGTATCTGCTTGGGTCCTTCAGGTGTTTGGGACAAGAGTTTTCTGTATCATTCTAAAATTTATGGTTTTATAAAAGCCTTTAGTACCTTGATTATTAGGAACAGTGAACTGCAAGAAAATAGATATCAAAGTTGAAGAAAGATATTAAGAATATAGACTTTAAGCGAATAAGAATAAAGGAAAAAGACACGATATTATTAATTTTGTTATATAGTAAGGTCATTGTTGACAGGAAAAGGATTCTTTCATTAGGATTATCGAGTAATAGCCTTAAATTTGCATCGTATGTTGTTCTAATTTTAATTTCTTTAAAGGCAAAATATTTTTCCTGTTCTACATTCTTACGGTTGATAGAGCTGAGCTAATGCTTTTGGTAGTGTCGATTGTCCTTTTTGAAGAAGTTACATAACACTGATGTATAGTTAACAAGAGCACATTTTGTTCTAGACCAATCAACGGGTTTGTTTACAAAATGTCATTAGCCAATCACCGGCCTCCATTTTGAGCTTGATTTTTGAATGTTTCAAACCAAAACACAGTTGCTGTGGAGAAAAACCTACCCCCATACTTTTGCCCGGGAAAAAAATTTACGTTCTTTAACCTAGAAGATTTTTCAAACTTAGTTTCTAGAGTATTTGTTTCGTACAAATCTCGGAGCCCTAAGCAGAAACACAAACGGTGTCTAAAATATCTGCACTGAAACATCACCTATTTCCCACCAGAGACCTACCTCCAAAAATGCCCAGACCCTAATTTACTTTATATGAAGCTTTCGCTAATTAAACAAGGAAACATTCTAAGATTTAAGTTTCCGGATAGTTTACGCAAGCAAATCACCCAGCTATAACTTGGGAATAATGTATTTTCTTAAAAAAACTAGGCTTTCTAATTGCCTATTCCCTCCTCGACACTACCGCACGGGATGCCTAGGCCCTTTTTGAACATTCCTCCTGAGCATCACAGTCAATGAAACTCAAACCACTTTTGTGAAGCCATTAGACATCAGTCTATAGTTTGAAGCCAAAAAGGCCAAAATATTGGCAATACTTTCAATTCAATTTTTGAGAGATATCATCTTTTTAAAAAGTAACAAAGACCCACTTTTCCTGGAAAGTCTCAAAGCCTTGAAACCTTACTGATACCTGCTAAAAGGTTTTTAGAACAAGGCATGATAACTTTAGAAATATCTTTGCTAAATCAAATTTGGTTGTTTGAGAACCAATATGATCAAATTGGCCTTGAATTTTGTGGCAAGTGATACATTATCAGCCTTTGGTCGTTTCAAAGCTATTTTCAGCCGAACGTCCTTTCAAGGCATTTGAGGCACGCTACTGCCAATAGCGAAAATTTCGTTAACTCACTCCCCTCGCGAAAGTATCTGGAAAGTTTCGAATTTACAATTTATAGATTTTTGATTGCAAAACTGTTTTCTGAATTTCCTTGAATTTTTCTATAAGTTTCTTTGGCCTTTGAACTATTTATTTGTCTAAAAAAATTATATTATCCATGTATATTATCTCAGCCAATCAAAGATTTGACCGCTATGCTCCTTTTAGCAGGTATCAGTAAGGTTTCAAGGCTTTGAGACTGTCCAGGAAATGTGGGTCTTTTTAAAAAGATGATATCTCTCAAAAATTTAATTGAAAGTAATGCTAATATTTTGGCCTTTTTGGCTTCAAACTATAGACTGATGTCTAATGGCTTCACAAAAGTGGTTTGAGTTTCATTGACTGTGATGCTCAGGAGGAATGTTCAAAAAGGGCCTAGGCATCCCGTGCGGTAGTGTAGAGGAGGGAATAGGCAATTATAAAGCCTAGTTTTTTTAAGAAAATACATTATTCCCAAGTGATAGCTGGGTGATTTGCTTGCGCAAACTATCAGGAAACTTAAAACTTAGAATGTTTCCTTGTTTAATTAGCAAAAGCTTCATATAAAGTAAATTAGGGGCTGGGCATTTTTGGAGGTAGGTCTCTGGTGGGAAATAGGTGATGTGTTTCAGTGCAGATATTTTAGACACCGTTTGTGTTTCTGCTTAGGGCTCCGAGATTTGTACGAAACAAATACTCTAGAAACTAAGTTTGAAAAATCTTCTAGGTTAAAGAACGTAAATTTTTTTCCCGGGCAAAAGTATGGGGGTAGGTTTTTCTCCACAGCAACTGTGTTTTGGTTTGAAACATTCAAAAATCAAGCTCAAAATGGAGGCCGGTGATTGGCTAATGACATTTTGTAAACAAACCCGTTGATTGGTCTAGAACAAAATGTGCTCTTGTTTGTATAGTTGCTTATTAATGTCAAATAAATATTACATTATTTCTTTCTTGCAACTGTCGTCGAAGCTATGAAAAAGGGACCTACATCAGCTTTAAAATCTTTGAACCAAGCCAATTTAACAGTTTTCTAATATCAAACTTCAAATGGCCGTAACGCATAAAATATGCAACAGATTTAACGTGTTTTCCACATTTAGAGACAATTTAACGTGTTGTTTCTGCCTGTTCAATAGTACAATAGTTCATTAGTTCAAAATTGGAAATTCAGAAAAAACAATTTTGTTATAATGTCATCCTTTTTCGCCTCTGTTGCTCAAGTCAGGTTCTATCGTTAACAAAAACATATAAAACAGCTTGTCAAGGCCAATAGTAGAAAGAAGAATGTTTCAAAAAACTAAACTTTTGCACAAATTACACTTTATATAAATACATATTCCGCCAACACCAAGTTTCTAAACTAGTGCTAAAGATACCACTTCTTCGTTCTATTCCAGTGATGTTGTCACTATGGATCACGGATCAAAACCTCTTGGGCATTGGTAAATGTCGCCAAAGGTGAGCAAAAGTATTGCACAGGCTGAGTCAGAAAGTAAGAAAGACACTTCTCGTAGAAAACGACAACATAATAAATGACGACAAGAAGATTTGTGAAATTTTCAATTCTTATTTTGTAAACATAACCGACACACTACCTATCACAGCACCGCCAGAGTTTGATGTTGAAAACAATTCGTCAACTGATCATGTGCTGTATTTGATTCAGAAATACAGGAAACACCCTAGTATTATCAGAATTATAGAAAATGTTGGTATTATTGACGAATTTTAATTTGATTTTGTTGCACCTTTTGATGTTTGGAATGAAATCAACCAGCTTAGTAGTTTAAATAATCTAGTGGGGAGATTCCCACGGATATTTTGAATTACTCTCAGGTTTGTGTATTGTTCAAATTACATTTTATATTATAGCGATTTTCCTGACCAACAAGAACTGGCTGATGTATCACCTATCTTCAAAGCGAACGACTCTACATTGAAACTTATCTTTAGGCCAACAAGTGTCCTTCGTCCCTTTCAAAAGTCTTTGAACGCATCATGGTCAAACTAGTGAAACTGTGTGCAGGGTTGCCACTGTATGAAAGCCAGATATACCTACAGCGCATGCGTTTTCTCCCTACTTTCCCCCCACGCATTTTCCCTCAATTATCCCTACAAATCCCTACAATTTCGGAATTATACCCACGAAAACAACCCACATAATGACAAAAAAACTCAATCCGCTTTGCAACCTGTCTATTTTAATGAAGCTGTTATAACTTTAGAATGATATAATATAATAATATGATAATTGTAGCAGTTTAAAAAATATAAACCAACGAAAAGGCAAAGCCTTCAGGTAAATAGTCAATCAAACTGTTCAATGCTCTCAACGTCTTCCCGGTCATTATTATTGTATCTTTCCATCTATGATCCTCTGGCACTGGAATAGAGAGACGATAGCCTAGCACTAACTTCAAAACATCCAGGGAACCCTTCACCAACTCGGATTACGGCCTCAATCGTGCGGACTGCCAATCTGTTCCTCAATTTTTTTTGTTACAATATATTTTGGAGAATGTGTTGGATCAACTTTGAACGCGAGATGCATACCAGGGACGGGGAATTTCATTGAGTTCAATGTTTTTTGTGCAAATAAAAATTTACCCAAAAAATACTTTAATCTTGATTATACCTACAACTTGAGCGTTTTTTACCTACATTTTGCATTTTATCCCGTAGGTTTATCCCTGCAACCTACAAAAGGCAAAAAATTCCTACTGTCGGTAGAAATCCCTACAGTCTGTGTGGCTTCGTGTTTCCTGTATGGCTTCCGTGACGGCTACAGTACACAACATGCATTGTTCCGTCTTATTGAAGCTTGTCGCAGTACACTGGATAAAAAGGGCTTGGGGTTCCCCAGGTAATCGGGAGAAATCAAATGATTTTCCATGCGTATTGAAAATCCTGGGAGTAGAATGGAATACAGAGAGTGATGAAATTGTTTTTGATTAGCCAGAGGTAAATAATTACGCTCTCGCATTACCAATTACCAGAAGATCTCTTTTAAACGTATGTTATAAAAGTTGAAATCACCTGAAACAACCTGAAATCACCTGAAACAACCTGAAATCACCTGAAACAACCTGAAATCACCTGAAATCACCTTAAACCATCTGCAAATTACCTGAAACCACCTGAAAATCTCCTGACAGTTAGCCGGAATTCCTGATTTCCCCAATCACACCTTAGTTGTGCAGCAATTATTCCAATTGTTCCCATACAATACACAAGTAGACACCACTTCGAAAATGTAAATCGTAATCGTAAATAACCATATACAAATCAGTATTATACATGAATACAAATTTCCTTTAGACCCCCTGTTCAAACAGAGGTAGCCCCACCCCCTTCTTGCAGTCGATTAACCTCGCTTTAAGCTAGGACACCCGATTTTCTAACTTGCAAGAAGAAGAGATCCAACTTTTGCAAAAATACCTCTCAGTTCTCACAACCTCAGGATTGAAACCAGTGGATTTGGAAAGAATCCGATCCCTAGGGCTGATATTTGGTTACTGTATCATTCATTGAAAAGTTCCAAGTGACCAATGGTATTTAGAGCAGTTTCGCTTTTTGAGTGATCCCAGGCATGGCTTTTCGTTAGCCTCGTTTTGATGAAGATTATTTTGACTCATTGTAACCAAAAGAAGCTCGGTATTCAAAGTATGATCATTCTAAGGAACCAGCATACTTTTATTTTTGGTAAAACTCGAAAATCACCCTAGTGGGAAATAATCGAAGTATTTAAATGGAAAAAAAGGGCACGATAGAGTGGAATTATCACACCAGTGGAATTGTCAGTCCTTTATGCGAGACAATAGATTTAGTCCCATTCACGAAAACAATGTAGGTGATTTACAGGTAGTTTCAGGTGATTTGCAGGTGATTTGCAGGTGGTTTCAGGTGATTTACAGGTAGTTTCAGGTGATTTGCAGGTGATTTGCAGGTGGTTTCAGGTGATTTGCAGGTGATTTGCAGGTGATTTGCAGGTGATTTCAGATGATTTCAGGTCGTATCAGGTGATTTTAACTTTTATAACATACGCTCTTTTAAATTTACTGCTAAGAGATTTGATCCTCTAGATGCACTCAATCCGTTTATCATCAAATTTAAATGCCTTTTTCGGGAAACAACAGTTCAAAGGGTACCATGGGATCAAGAATTACAAGTAGAATTTCGAGCGCGGTATTCATAGCTCGTATCACAACTAAATTTGTTATCATCGGTGTCTTTCCCCAGGTATTATTTTCGACAGGGTAAGGAAGTGGTCAACGTTCAATTACATGGTTTTATCTGATGCCAGTGAACTGGTATATGCATCGGTTATCTTCATTCGAGTTGAATAACAGGATGGTGAAATATAATCTAGATTTATATCGTCTAAGACTCATGTTGCTCCACTTAAACAACACAGTATTCCGCGATTAGAAAAAATTTTGCAAGGGAAATTTCTTATTTATCCAACAAAAGCAAAAACAAGGACAGAAAGCCACCTTTACTTGTCTCACAGTTCAATCTAATGATTGACAAGGATGGTCTTCTCAGAACTAGAACACACATTAATAATGCCTCAGTGTCTATTGAAAGCCGAGAACCTATACTATTGCCATCCAAGTCGTTGTTCTCAGAACTTATCATCAAAAAATATTACGATCTTATCTTTCATAACGGGACTCGTGATACTCTTAACGCAATTCGTCAAAAATATTGGATTCTAAGGGGCCGTGAAACAGTTAAGAAACTTGTACGAAGATGTGTAACATATAAGAAAATTGAAGGGGTATTCTTTAAGACCGTTCCAGCTCATACACTTCCAGAGATTCACGTAGACAATGGGCCTCCATTCATAAATACAGGGGTAGACTTTGCTGGACCATTGTATGTTACAGATCCTAAGACGAAGGAGACATCTAAAACTTACATATGTCTTTTTACATGTATGTCGACCCGCGCCATACATTTAGAACTGGTTAAAGATTTAACTGCTTCTTCCTTTCTATATGCATTTAGACGTTTTGCAGGTCGTAGAGGATTGCCGAGGAATATTTTTTCCGATAATGCAAAGACTTTTAAATCTGCAGTAAAGGAGATAAGAACTATAAAATTATCAAAGGAGGTCAAGTCTTTTTTATCAAAACAGGGAACGTCGTGGTATTTTAACATCCCACTGGCAGCTTGGCAAGGAGGTACATGGGAACGTGTGGTGCGATCGGTAAAGCGTTGTTTGAAGAAGGTTATTGGTAGGTCTACTTTACATTTTGAAGAATTGTTAGCACTTATTGTCGAAGTAGAAAGTTGTATTAATGCTCGTCCAATTACTTACATTTTTGATGATTTAGAAGGTGTATCTTACCCTTTAACCCCGGCAGAGTTAATTTGTGGATATATGGTTAGTCCCATGTACCCCGTGTATGTATGTGTATTTTACACATTTACGTTTCTTCTTTTTTTTGCAATTCGACTGTTCTTTGCTGGAGATTTTACGTAAAGTTACGGATACAGTTGTGGCACACTTGACAACTGAACGAAATTTAAAGAAAAACTTTTGACAAACATAATGCTGATTTCCCAGTGTGCACACCAAAATTACCACCAAAACAAGTTCACTAATCCCTCAAATCTGAAATCTTGTTCAGTTCGCCCAGGGCCTTGGAAAAATAGTCTTGATTTTCCACTTTTACAAAGATAACAAGTTTTATGTCAGAAACCAGAGCACCCAGGGTCTTAGCTTCCATAATCGAGCGCCAAAAGTAATTAACTCTAAACAAGTTTATACAAATGGTCAACAATGTTGCAATGTGTGGACAGAGCCTTCAATAAGCCTAAACATTCCATTTCAAACGTATAAGGGTGTTCAGAATAAATCTATGATCGTGTAGACGGGCCTAATCAGCAAAATTGCTCATTAAAGTGATCAGCAAAAAAAAATTAGCAAACGTGCTTGGAGGATGCACGTAGTCAATGCTATTTTGCTCTCAAGCGAGTCATTGCATCCTGATTTTTCAAACTATGGCAAAAGGAAAATCTCTTTTTATGGAGGCTAATTTTGTATATGATCAAGACTTCTGATAGCTTGCCTATAAAGCATTGCTTGAGGTATGTATTTCGTGAAAAAAAACTGTTGCCATTTGTTCTAGGTTTTGCTAACTTTGAGTTATACTTTTAAAGATCGGAAAAATATGCGAAAATTAAAAGAAAACACTCACCTGATCTCAGATTGGATTTAGAACCGATTTTGAACTCTCCAATTTCTTTCTGTTTTGCTTCTCATCAAGCCTCATACACACTGAACTGGTCTCATTTTTGAAGACTACTATATAAAACGTTCCACACAAAAAACGTGCAACAATACTTTCCGTCCGAAAAGAGGTCAATCCCCGTCCATGTAATTCTTTTAAATTTTTACTCAAATAGCATAAAAATTGCAGGTGCAAACTGAATTTACAAAATAAGCAATTTTCTGTACTGAGAACTTTGATTTGCACGTAATAACGAATGAGGTGACCTGCAGAAATTCATAACGCACAAACTACATAAATCAAAGCCCCCTCAAAAAACAAGACTTAGGCCCTGCAACAAGCTTGTATTTATCATCCTTTCAGTCATATGTTGAAATTAACAAGTGATTCGTATTTCTTTTGTTTTTGGTTTTGATAAAGTATCCGTAGACACCTATGAATGTCAGTACCTAGCGTACTTTGGTAAATAATATTTTGGGTCCAAGTCCTCTTAAATTTGTCGGGCCTACCATATTAAATACGCTTATGTTCCTAGCAGTTCTTTACGATGAAACTTTCGACATAATCAACAAATTTCCCGACTGAACAAACCTTTAAAAATTATCTTGTTTTTGATGCATACATAAATCGCAATGGTATAAACTCATTGATAGATGATCGAACTGCAATCCAAACGGCCATCTTGTGTTTGAAAAAGCGCGCTCAAAAATGGCAGTTGCTTGTTGGTTGAGCCATGGTTTAGCGATGGTCAAACCATGATTGCATAAGGAAATTTAAATCCAAAGGACATAAATGTTTTCTGATTTAAAAACAAGGAACTGTGTTTACAAAACAAAGCTAATCTTGGAAAACCCAACTCAACAGGCACCGCGGAGCAGGGGGCAGGGGGCAGGGGGCAAATATTAAGTAATAAACTACCAGGAAAGCCTCTTTTTAAAGGGTTTTGCCCCCACTTCTTTAAAACCCCAACTGCTCAAAGCTCCGCGGTGCCTGCTTAATAATGAAACATATAACCATGCAAAAAATTACTTATAGGCAAAAAATTTCTTAGTAGGAAACGAAGAAAATACCAGGATCTTAAACAGTGGAGATTTCTTGTAGGGTTATAGGGGGTGGAGCTTTCTTGTTAGAAATTTTCTTGACTTTGGAGGGGAAAATATGGGCAACCACACCCTTTCTTATAAAATTGCCCCTGGGGCCATGTTGTTATATTTTCAGGATTCACCCTTGATCCTAAACCCATCGACATTACAGTGTAAAACAAATAATTGTAAAATAAAAGTGGGTTCAGCGATGCATCATGAATGGTCAGGCCAAATTTTCATAAAACATCTCAAATTCAAAGAAAATAATTTTTATATGGCTTAAAAACAAGGAAATATATCCACAAAACAAATAAAGTAGAATCAAACTATTTAATTTAAAAATTCTTTGCCATTTTAAGAAATGTCAATTAATAAATGGACCATGGTTCAGCAATGGGTCAGCAATGGTCAGGCCAAATTTTCATAAAACATCTCAAATTCAAAGAAAATAATTTTTCTATGGCTTAAAAACAAGGAAATATGTCCACAAACAAATATAGTAGAAATCAAACTATTTAATTTAAAATTTCTTTGCTATTTTAAGAAATGTCAATTAATAGATTGACCATGGTTCAGCAATGGGTCAGCAATGGTCAGGCCAAATTTTCATAAAACATCTCAAATTCGAAGAACATAATTTTTCTATGGCTTAAAAACAAGGAAATATATCCACAAAACAAATATAGTAGAAATCAAACAATTTAATTTAAAAATTCTTTGCCATTTTAAGAAATGTCAATTAATAAATGGACCATGGTTCAGCAATGGGTCAGCAATGGTCAGGCCAAATTTTCATAAAACATCTCAAATTCGAAGAACATAATTTTTCTATGGCTTAAAAACAAGGAAATGTGTCCACAAAACAAATATAGTAGAAATCAAACAATTTAATTTAAAAATTCTTTGTCATTTTAAGAAATGTCAATTAATAAATGGACCATGGTTCAGCAATGGGTCAGCAATGGTCAGGCCAAATTTTCATAAAACATCTCAAATTCGAAGAAATTAAAAGTTTTTATAGCTTAAAAACAATAAAATATGTCCACAAAACAAATATAGTAGAAATCAAACAATTTAATTTAAAAATTCTTTGTCATTTTAAGAAATGTCAATTAATAAATGGACCATGGTTCAGCAATGGGTCAGCAATGGTCGGGCCAAATTTTCACAAAACATTTCAAATTCAAAGAAATTAAAAGTTTTAATAGCTTAAAAACAAGGAAATGTGTCCACAAAACAAAACTAGTGGATATCAAGCTGTTTAATTTAGTAGTTTATTGCCATTTTATGAATATCAGTCGATAAATGGACCATGGTTTAGCAATGGTTAGACCATGTTTATGTAAAACTCTTGCCATTCAGAAAAAATGAAGGAAATTCATAGTGAGACAAGGAAAATATAATCTTTCAATTTGAAGGTATCAGAATACCAGCACATAAAACCCTCTTATTGACTGAGTTGTGTCTTTAGACATGGACCATGGTCTTGACATGGTCAGACATGGTTGCATGGAAAATGATATAAAATACAGAAAACTGTTACTTTTTCTTATATTTCTATTGAGGATAACTTTTTAGATAGTTGAGGATTCATATTTTCCAAGAACAAACAAATTAAAATCATTGCAGGCAAAATATTCTTTCATTGCTCAACCATGGTCACTAACCATGGTCAGGATTTGTCAGGATCACGGCTCAACCATGGTATGACCATTGCAAACTATGGTTGGGCCATGAACCATGGTTGGGTTTTCGCAGGGGCAGATAAACGTGAATCCGCCTCAATCCAGATGAAGGAGTGCCTGCCACGCACAATCAAATCAGGTAAAATCAGGTAAAGTCTAATAGTGCTAGTTTGGTTTTCGTTTGTTTTTCATCCTGTAACCTTAGTAATTTTATCACCATTTGCACATTCGATTGTTTATAATTCCTTTTGTTTTCTAATTGCACCTTTAGATTCATTGACTATGTCTTTTGGGATTTTTAGTATCATTTTTCAGTCTATGTAATTAATCTTGGGAGTAATATATTTTGTATTCATTATTATTATTTAAATTTACGTATCTATGTAGCATTACAATTATTTCTTGTTTAGTTATATTTTGGGCGTGTTGTCTTTACAGTGTTAGTTTTGAGTTCGTTGGAGTTGGAGTTTAAGTTGGAGATGGAATTACGGTTAAGAGCGATAAGGTTAAGTTTTGATATTTTGTATATTTAGGTTATCTACGTTTTATAAATGTGGCAAGATGCTTGAAACAGATCTTGTCGGCATAAACTATGGATTTAAAGGATAGGTATTGTCAGTGGCGAAGCCAAAGGTCCTGCTGGTCCTGCTGAGCAGGACCAAGAATTTCCAAAGATAAGATTTACTGTGAACAATAAACAATTTCTTCTTTGCAAAAAGGAAGTTTCAAATTCTTTTTGATAAACAGTCCCCAGTTCCGCCAGCTGATACAGGCATCCCGTGCTAATCTTAAGGTCCTGTTCTCTTCTACGGCAGCCCTGTATTTCGGTCCTGCTCATAACTATGATACCCTATGTTTGGTCCTGCTTCACAATGGGATTTTGTGAATTTAGTCCTGCTTCACAATAGTCTAGAACAAAGAGCAGTCCTGCTCAATCTCGGGAGCAGAACCTCGTCGAAATGACCATCATAACATTTCGTAAGCAGTTGTGATTTGATTGGTCGAGGGTTCACCTACGTAGGTCAAAGAGCATTGTTTTGAAAACCTTTGGTCTTGCTATTTCTGAGAGCAGGACTGCAAGAATTGCCCTGTGCATTCTCGTTCTGCTATGAGATACTAGCAAGGAGGCCAGTTCAAGTATTATGGCGAGGCGATGTGAATGCGGATTTTCTGCTTGCTTTGGCAATACCAATGATATTATTATTGACAGCAAAACTTGCCTCAGTTGAGCTGCATAAATTTTATTTGTAACAAGACAGAGTCCAAAGTTCGCAAGAAAGAAATGTAAACAACAAGAATTGGCTGTATGAGGCACTCTGATTTCGGCCTTTTAGACCAGGCGAGGAAGGGGGGTATCGTCACCCATCGAGGGAATTTGCAAGACCAACTCTATTTGGTCAATTTCGATACGCTGATACGAAAATCGATGTTATACGGAGAAATTCGGTACCAGGAAGCCTCTATTTCACGTTCAAACCTTGTTTTCGTCCAAATTTGAACGTTGAACGAAAGTCTGTAAATGAATCAATTTTTATCAATTTCGATGTGCTGATTTCAAAAAATTATTTTATAAATGTAAATTCAGTACCAGGAAGCCTCTATTTCACGTCCAAACCTCGTTTTCATCAAAATTTGAACGTTGAAAAAAAGTTTGTAAATATTTTATTCTCATCAATTTCGATATACTGATTTCGAAGGTTGATATCATACGGCGGAATTCTGAATGCACTGGTCCCTTTTTCATGCTGAAATCGTGTATTTATCGTTTTCAATATTTTTAGGGTAAAATCTGCTGCACACATAGATTTGCTTTAAAAGCTTAAAAAAGATTATGTCAAAAGGCAATATAATACGGCTGATAAACATTTAAAGTTTTTTTGAATAAACATTCTAGTATCCGTTGTCATCAGAGTCAGGATTGGCGGCATGGGGGGCAAGGGGGGGCTTTAGCCCCCCCTAGATTTTTGTTAGCCCCCCCCCGTCGGCAGCCAATCAATTTTTGCTTTCTCAATACCGTCGGCACTTGATGGATGTCACCCGGTTTACATGTTGTTTGAATGACATAAATAATCGAGGAGAAAACTGCACTGGCTGGTTTATGGTTTTCTCAATGGCTTTTCTTCGGCAATACTACTGTCATAGTGACATTATATCCTGTCGCTTCCGTGAAAGCTGTGACTTAATTTCATGGTGCTCCTTCGCATGACCCACAATACCATCGTGCTCCTCTCGGTTGAAATCCCTGTTGCTGCTTGGAATTCATGCGAAACGTGCAGAGATGCTTGATTTGGATCATGTTTTGGACCGTTTCAAGGAAATTTACCCTAACAACAGCAAAATCACGCTGTCATAAATAAAGTCTTTAATGAATTTTCTTCTTAAGGGATTCTCTTTTCGTTTCAAGACATTATTATTGCCAATGAAAACATTTCGATCATGAGCACATTTTGCCTAATAACTTTTTCAAAAAGCATTTTTTGTCCTTTTTCGTCAACTATTTTTCAATAGCATTGTTCACCGCATAGCTCGCAACAAACAAATGGTTTAGAGAAAACCGTCGATTAACTTCTTCCAACATAGATAGGAAGAAAAATTCAACAATAGGCAATATTTGCGCATTAAGTTTCTTACAAGGCACAAATTGCCGAGAAAATCTCGTGGACTCCGACACAGGTTGGAAAGTGGGAGCGGGGAGGGAGAATTTTGCACCCACAACAAACGATTTTGTAAAAATGCTTTATTGCTTGCTCTATATGCTTGCTTGCTTTTGGAAAAATGCTCTTAATCGGTGCTCCTTCATTGGAGGTGCTGCTCAGGGGCGTCGCGACTGGGGGTTGTCACACCCACCCCAATAGTATCTCAATAGGGAATTTCAGGTAAAATCCGCTCGGTGGAAGAAACGCTTTAGGTATTTCAGAGACCTTCCTGTCATAAAATCAATAAAGGATCAAGCAATCTCAGGTAAAATTGTGCCTCGTGTCCATTTCTCCTAAAGTTTCTCAGTAGAAGCGTCAACTGCAATTCACTATGAGCTCCAGATTTTTCTTAACATTCATAAGGCATGCTAAGATGGAGAGAGAGATCTAAATTTAAAAGTAATTGACAACCTGGTATTTTTCAAGACCACGGCGAAATTGTTGTTTTTATCTGCTGTAAAAAAGTTTTGCAAAAAGACAATAATTTTCAATAGGATTAGGAGGATTGCTTTAGTGAAATCTGCTTC